GAACTCTTTGGCCTGAATGCCAAGTGTCATGTCTGGAGGAAACCTGGCACCATCCCTACAGTGAAGCATGGTGGTGGCAGCATCATGCTGTGGGGATGTTTTTCAGCAGCAGGGACTGGGAGACTAATCAGGATCGAGGCACAGATGAACAGAGCAAAGTACACAGAGATCCTTGATGAAAACCTGCTCAGACCGCAAAGGTTTACCGTCCAACAGGACAACAACCCAAAGCACACAGCCAAGACAACACAGGAGTGACTTCGGGACAAGTCTCTGAATGTCCTTGAGTGGCCCAGCCAGAGCCCGGACTTGAACCTGATCGAACATCTCTGGAGAGACCTGACAATAACTGCAGCAACGCTCCCCATCCAACCTGACAGAGCTTGAGAGGATCTGCAGAGAAGAATGGGAGAAACTTCCCAAATACAGGTGTGCCAAGCTTGTAGCGTCATACCCAAGAAGACTCAATGCTGTAATCGCTGCCAAATTTGCTTCAACAAAGTACTGAGTAAAGGGTCTGAGTACTTATGTAAATATCATATTTCAATTAGCAAAAAAATTATAAAAACCTGTTTTTGCGATGTCATTATGGGGTATTGTGTGTAGATTGATGAGGAGAGAAAAAAAAACAATTTAATCCATTTTAGAATAAGGCTGTAACGTAACAAAATGTGGAAAAGGTCAAGGGGTATGAATACTTTCCGAAGGCACTGTACATCCTGTCCCTTAAACCAATCACAACCCTCCCCCTAAGCTTCAGTCCACTCAAACTGCAATATAGTTAGTCACCTGCAGTAACACATAGTTACAAAATCTGATGAGTTCTTAGTTACAGTTGAAGTCGGAAGTTTAGAGACACTTAGGTTGGAGTCATTAAAACTCGTTTTTTCAACCACTCCACACATTTCTTGTTAACAAACTATAGTTTTGGCAAGTCAGTTAGGACATCTACTTTGTGCATAACACAAGTAATTTGTCCAGCAATTGTTTACAGACAGATTATTTCATTTATAATTCACTGTATCACAATTTCAGTGGGTCAGAAGTTTACATACACTAAGTTGACTGTGCCTTTAAACAGCTTGGAAAATCCCAGAAAATGATGTCATGGCTTTAGAAGCTTCTGATAGGCTAATTGACATCATTTGAGTCCATTGGAGGTGTACCTGTGCATGTATTTCAACACATACCTTCAAACTCAGTGCCTCTTTGCTTGACATCATGGGAAAATCAAAAGAAATCAGCCAAGACCTCAGAAAACAAATTGTAGACCTCCACAAGTCTGGTTCATCGTTTGGAGCAATTTCCAAATGCCTGAAGGTACCACGTTCATCTGTACAAATAATAGTACGCAAGTATAAACACCATGGGACCACGCAGCTGTCATACCGCTCAGGAAGGAGACGCGTTCTGTCTCCTAGAGATGAACGTACTTTGGTGCTAAAAGTGCAAATCAATCCCAGAACAACAGCAAAGGAACTTGTGAAGATGCTGGAGGAAACAGGTACAAAAGTATCTATATCCACAGTAAAACAAGTACTATATCGACATAACCTGAAAGGCCGCTCAGCAAGGAAGAAGCCACTGCTCCAAAACCGCCATAAAAAAGCCAGACTACGGTTTGCAACTGCACATGGGGACAAAGATCGTACTTTTTGGAGAAATGTCCTCTGGTCTGATGAAACAAAAATAGAACTGTTTGGCGATAATGACCATCGTTATGTTTGGAGGAAAAAGGGGGTGCTTGCAAGCCGAAGAACACCATCCCAATCGTGAAGCACGGGGGTGGCAGCATCATGCTGTGGGGGTGCTTTGCTGCAGGAGGGACTGGTGCACTTCACTAAATAGATGGCATCATGAGGAAGGAAAATTATGTGGATATATTGAAACAACATCTCAAGACATCAGTCAGGAAGTTAAACCTTGGTCGCAAATGGGTCTTCCAAATGGACAATGACCCCAAGCATACTTCCAAAGTTGTGGCAAAATGGCTTAAGGACAACAAAGTCAAGGTATTGGAGTGGCCATCACAAATCCCTGACCTCAATCCTATAGAACATTTGTGGGCAGAACTGAAAAAGAGTGTGCGAGCAAGGAGGCCTACAAACCTGACTCAGTTACACCAGCTCTGTCAGGAGGAATGGGCGAAAATTCACCAAACATTTCACATTCTTAAAATAAAGTGGTGATCCTAACTGACCTAAGACAGGGAATTTTTACTAGGATTAAATGTCAGGAATTGTAAAAACCTGAGTTTAAATGTATTTGGCTAAGGTGTATGTAAACTTCCGACTTCAACTGTATGCTGTACACCCAAGTTGCACTCATGTCTCGAAAGGACATTGACTTGACTCGAATCTTGCTTAATAACTAATTGACAGTAAATTAATGAAGAGAAGTCTTGTATGACCTTGAAACACAACAACACAACATTATACAGGTTTTGAACTGCAAGCAGAGCTGACATTTTTCTGTTACACTAAGCAGGCTGGTGATTCCTCTGACTTGTGAGAACCATTTGGTGGGATCTTCAAATTTGATTGACAGGTGAGAGTCTTGGGTTGTGTCCTTGACTTTTCTTCATTGGCACGTCCGACAGCAGAAGAAGCTGCAGAGACCTTTGTCAAAAACTTTCCTCAGTGGGACTGAATTGTGTATCATGTCTGTTTTTAGTCAGGGATCCAACCCTGTTTGGAAAGTGTTAGACAAGATGTAGGAATTCCTACATTGAAATCCTCTTATGTCACCTAAATATATCGCATGAAAGAGCTCAACAATGGGACAGTTAGACAGCGAATTGTTGCCAAATTACAGCAGGAAAAGTCCTATGCAACATTTCCACACAAGACACAAGCATAGGAAACGATCAGAAGATTATACTAGAGAAGAATAGAGGAATAGATGCAGACGCTTTGTAGTCTTTTGAGGGAGCTGTACGCCATAGTGAAATCTGGTGTTTGTGTGTGCGTTTGCTTACTTGCATGTGTGCGTCCATGCATGAATGCATGAGTGAATACTGCAATGATGCCCAGCAAAATATGAAACAATCTGCTCCCATGCAATGAGCACTATTCATCCAATGAATATCTGCAGACCCAGTTGCCAGCAACTTTTTTCATTATTATTGCCAACAGCTGCAGAAGTTTTACAGTAACTAGGCTGGAAGGGAGGACTGCACTGCCATCTCTACCCCTCTCCTCCCACCCTCTCTTCCTCTCCCTCTATCCTGTGATGTATTACAGTCTGCACCCGTAGATGGGCATGGATTGGGAGGAATTAGGTCACGAAGAAGCACACTGCAGAGGGGATAGCGCGGTGCCGACGTGCGTAGGAGAGAGCCCATGTTGTTGTACACGGTGCGGTGAAATATGGAGAGGAGTAGGGGCGCGCTCACTTAAAGAGTGCATATAATACATCAACAAAGGAAATGGGAGGGAGAGGAAACATGCCAAGGGCAACGCCTGCCCCTGTTTCCCTTCCTGTGTGTGTGAGAGTGAGTGTGTATGTGAGTGTGTATGTGAGTGTGTGTGTGCAGTGCAGCAGCGGGCGCTCTGCTTTAGCACGCTCATATGCATAACGGTATTCCGTTCACGTTTAGGACTTTCTGCTGTGGAAACACTGAGGTGCCAGAGTGATGATGGAAAAGCGGGCGTCTAGGGGAACAGCTGTTTCTAATAATAGAATCCAAGGAAAATGTTCATCCCCAATGAGGGACAGAGCTGCAACGTCCCCCTTTCTCTCCTCCTTTTCTCTGTTCCCAGCATTATGAGGCAGCAGTTCTCACTTAAAGCTATGTCATCCCAGGTTTCTGTTGCTCATTAACAGTTCCTGTGGATTTGTAATTCCCCTATCTGTTATTTATTGTTTTACATGTACAGTAATTGGCTTGTATCTGTACTTTACTGGTTAGCCTTCTAAATCTATCATGTTTTTTATACAATTCGCAGGTTCTCCAATACAGTCATTAATTTGGAAATCATATCTTATTCGTGCACATTTGAGTATGATAGCCTGTATTTAATTTATTATATGGTTATATGGACTGAGGACCACCTCAATTACGTGATGGTTCCATCTTTTAGGTAATAGTGAAAGTAATTACTGTTACATCTGCATTCTAGAAGCAGTTATCTCTGACGTATGGCAGAGGGTTGACAGGTACAGATCTCTTGGCCTTGATCATACACATCAATCTCGTATTGCATTTATCATGTTGTCTCCTTCAACGTTCTGAAGCAACTCTTTTTAATTACCAGTCTAAGCCAAAGCAGTAGACATGCTTTAAAGTAGACAAATTATTTAGTGTGTTCACATTTTAAAACTTTAAGTTTGTCCTTGGATAACCAGCTTATTGTTCCTTCATCTGTGAATAAGGAAGAAAAATGTGGAAATGTACCTCCAATAAGCATTTTTTTCCCGAAAGTTTATTTCCCTGAAGCATGTTCTGAAATGCCTGCATAAGCATTTTTGCAAACTGCAACTAATGCTGGAAAGCTTGAACGCTGTGAGTGGAATCTTAACTGCAGCTTTGCAACCGAGATTAGACTGATAGAAACCGGAGAGATGCAACTCTCCCCTGCCAGCCCTCAGAGAAGGTTACCAGCAGTTAAGTGAAGCATTTTGAAGTGTGTTTCATCAAAATGCCTGCAAGGCTTTTTGGATGGTTGATATAAATGATCTCCATTCATTTTTAATCATTTGGTTTTGTTTTTCCCATTTCCTGCTGTCCCCTCAACCACAAGTCTTCAGATTGGGAAAAGATGCCGCAGTGCTGTCACTTGGATCGACCACAGCAGTGGATCAAAAAGAGCAGATTTTAAGACGGCCCCGGAACAGAGCCCTGGGGAACACCTCACTTGACCTTCGATACCAAATCTAAATAGAGAGCTAATTGAACATATAGATAAAGTATTCAACCGTTTAAACCGTTACAATTATTATCTTCAAAGGCAATGGCATTTAATGTATACTGTATATAACAAAGAACTTTGAAATGAGACATGGGGCTTAAAATGTACCGTCATGTTAGTTTTCTCATCTCTTTCCCACAGTATGTTTTACTTTTTGTTCCTCTATTTATATGTCATTCCCTCTGTAATTTCACACTGGTGCAAACGCTGGATAAATCTGGCACACCATTTTCAATATTAACACAGTACCAAATTACAACAAACACAGTTGAGATCGTTCTCATTCAGATGTTTTGCTGTTGCTGGCACATCTTTTTCTCAAAGACCTTGAGTGATCTTGAGGACCTTGTGCACCTTGGCAACCGTCTCTGTCACTTAATGATCAGTTCTGTTATTGTTATTCCACACCCTCCTCTCTCTCTCACACACTGTGATGCACACCAATTGATATGCAAGGGAAGTTACCCTCTGATATCGGACAGTGTGTTTATGGCAGAGCCAAAATATTATCCCTTTGCATTGAACCTCAGGTTCATTGACACATCATCCTTCTTCTCTCTCACTGACTTATCTAAACTAGCTCAAAACCAGACTTAACCTTCCAGCTTAGCCATTGATAGTCACAACAATAGCTCATGTCGGCATCAAGCTTATCATGACCGTGCATGTAGCTTTTATAAAGCCTTTATGCATCCCTCAAGTATACAGTGCCTATCATAAGTATTCACCCCCTTGGATTTTTTCACATTTTGTTGAGTTACAAAGTGGGATTGAAATAGATGCAGTCAAATGACCAAAGTGCCCTCTAGAGGCCTCATGGGTGGAATATTATTAATATTATTCATAATTTCATAATTAATAAACATTCATTTTTTTTAACGCAGAAAATCCAGTGTTTTTATGTCAAATGGTTTTGTTATATTTCAGTCTTCTGTGATGTACAGTTGAAGTCGGAAGTTTACATACACTTAGGTCGGAGTCATTAAAACTCGTTTATCAACCACTCCACAAATGTATTGTTAACAAACTATAGTTTTGGCAAGTCGGTTAGGACATCTACTTTGTGCATGACACAAGTATATTTTTCCAACAATTGTTTACAGACAGATTATTTCACTTATAATTCACTGTATCACAATTCTAGTGGGTCAGAAGTTTACATACACTAAGTTGACTGTGCCTTTAAACAGCTTGGTAAATTCCAGAAAATTATGTCATGGCTTTAGAAGCTTCTGGTAGGCTAATTGACATCATTTGAGTCAATTGGAGGTGTACCTGTGGATGTATTTCAAGGCATACCTTCAAACTCAGTGCCTCTTTGCTTGACATCATGGGAAAATCAAAAGAAATCAGCCAAGACCTCAGAAAATTTTTTTTAGACCTCCACAAGTCTGGTTCATCCTTGGGAGCAATTTGCAAACGCCTGAAGGTACCACGTTCATATGTACAAACAATAGTATGCAAGTATAAACACCATGGGACCACGCAGCCGTCATACCGCTCAGGAAGGACACGTGTTCTGTCTCCTAGAGATGAACATACAAGTGCAAATCAATTCCAGAACAACAGCAAAGGACCTTGTGAAGATGCTGGAGGAAACAGGTACAAAATTATCTATATCCACAGTAAAACGAGTCCTATATCGACATAACTTGAAAGGCCGCTCAGCAAGGAAGAAGCCACTGCTCCAAAACCGCCATAAAAAAGCCAGACTACGGTTTGCAACTGCACATGGGGACAAAGATCGTACTTTTTGGAGAAATATCCTCTGGTCTAATGAAACAAAAATATAACTGTTTGACCATGATGACCATCGTTATGTTTGGAGGAAAAAGGTGGTTGCTTGCAAGCCGGAGAACACCATCCCAACCGTGAAGCACGGGGGTGGCAGCATCATGCTGTGGGGGTGCTTTGCTGCAGGAGGGAGGAAAATGATGTGGATATATTGAAGCAACATCTCAAGACATCAGTCAGGAAGTTAAAGCTTGGTCGCAAATGGGTCTTCCAAATGGACAATGACCCCAAGCATACTTCCAAAGTTGTGGCAAAATGGCTTAAGGACAACAAAGTCAAGGTATTGGAGTGGCCATCACAAAGCCCTGACCTCAATCCTATAGAAAATGTGTGGGCAGAACTGAAAAGGCGTGTGCGAGCAAGAAGGTCCTACAAACCTGACTCAGTTACACCAGCTCTGTCAGGAGGAATGGGACAAAATTCACCAAACTTATTGTGGGAAGCTTGTGGAAGGCTACCCGAAACGTTTGACCCAAGTTAAACAATTTAAAGGCAATGCTACCAAATACTAATTGAGTGTATGTAAACTTCTGAACCACTGGGAATGTGATGAAATAAATACAAGCTGAAATAAATCATTCTCTCTACTATTATTCTGACATTTCACATTCTTAAAATAAAGTGGTGATCCTAACTGACCTAAAACAGGGAATTTTTACTAGGATTAAATGTCATGAAAATGTTGTGAAAAACTGAGTTTAAATGTATTTGGCTAAGGTGTATGTAAACTTCCGACTTCAACTGTATATAAAGTGTAATATTGGGACGCAAACTCAAAATGTAATACATTAATATATTTGACATGGTACAGATGTCTTATTTTTTTATGCGCATAACCCTGTGTGTGAGGTGTATACTTTTATTTCAAAGTAGATTTGTTTAAGACTACCAATAAACACTCTGTGTGACTCAGATTTAGCCCACTGCAGTAATCTACTGATCTACACAAAATTCTCCATAATGTCAAAGTGAAAAGAAAATGTAATAAATAATAAGTTATAATAAGTTGTGTGATCTCACTCTGTGTGCTATAATAGGGATTAACATGATTTTTAAATTACTACCCCATCTCTGAACCCCCCACACACAATTATCAGTAAGGTCTCTCAGTCGAGTAGTGAATTTCATGCACAGATTCAACCACAAAGACCAGGGAGCTTTTCCAATGACTCGCAAAGAAAGGCACCGATTGGTTGGTGAAAAAAATATTAAAAGCAGACACTGAAATATAAGTTATTAATTAGGGTGTATCAATACACCCAGTCACTACAAAGTTACAGGTGTCCTTCCTAACTGAGCTGCCGGAGAGGAAGGAAAGGATTCAACCATGAGGCCAATGGTGATTTTAAACCGTTATGGAGTGTAATGTCTTTGATAGGAGAAAACCGAAGATGGATCAAGAACATTGTAGTTCCTCCACAATACTAACCTAAATGACAGAGTGAAAAGAAGGAAACCTGTACAGAATACAAATATTCCAAAACATGCATCCTGTTTGAAACAAGACATTAAAGTAATACTGCAAAACATTTGGCAAAGGAATTAACTTTTTGTCCTGAATACAAAGTGTTATGTTTGGGGCAAATTCAACATTACACGTCACTGAGTACCACTCTACATATTTTCAAGCATGGTGGTGGCTGCATCATGTTATGGGTAGTTGTTTACCAGAAATACAGTGAATGTTCCTGAGTGGCCTGGTTACAGTTTTGACTTAAATCTGCTTGAAAATCTATGGAAAGACTTGAAATTGGCTGTCAACAACCAACTTGACCAAGCTTGAAGAATTCTGAAACTAATAATGGACAAATATAGCACAATCCAGTTGTGCAAAGCTCTTAGAGATTTACCCCAAAAGACTTACAGTTGTAATTGCTGCCAAAGGTGTTTCTAACATGTATTGACTCAGGGGGGTGAATACTTACAGTATCTAATCAAGATATATTCATGTTGTATTTTGTATTAATTTTAAAAAATGTTTTAGAATTTTTCTTCCACTTCGACATAGTATTTTGTGCGGCTCATTGACAAAAAATTGCAATCAAATACATTTTAATCTCACTTTGTGACAATTCAAATGTGAAGAAATCCAAGAGGGGTGAATACTTATGATAGGCACTGTAAGTGTAAACCTAGAGAACAACAGAGTAAACGGGTGAAATGGGCAAGAGTTCAAAGTGAAGTTAGATTGACGTTTGGGGTGCTGACGCAGGGGTATAGAGAAAGGGGAGAGTTTGAGGACTGGACGGATGGGGTGACAGGAGTGACCGTGGGGCAGGTGATGGAGGTAGAGGACTGTAGATGCTCAGCCTCTCCAAGGAGCAGAGGGGCCAAATGGAGCGAGCATGAGAGTCGCCTGTTGCTGCGCTTAATAAGAACTGACGTTACACAACATCATCCACCTCAGCAGTATGTGGCCTTATTGCAGAGTCTGTGGTTGTGGCAAGTTATTTTTAAAAAGAAGGTCCCGTGTAGCTCAGTTGGTAGAGCATGGCGCTTGCAACGCCAGGGTTGTGGGTTCGATTCCCACGGGGGACTAGTATGAAAAAATGTATGCACTCACTAACTGTAAGTCGCTCTGGATAAGAGCGTCTGCTAAATGACTAAAATGTAAAATGTAAGGTGTGCACTGTGTGGGAGACTGCAGTGCAACACAGACTGACAGCAGAGACTCCGTCTGAATAATTGGTAACACATACACACTTAGTCATACTTTAAGTCAGTGGTTCCCAACCCTTTTCTGTTACTGTACCACCAACTGAATTTTGCTCCTCCCGGAGTACTCCTGAAGTACCCCCTCGTGCATTTTACCAGTAGGTCAATGGTCTCATGAGTCTTCTCACTTACCCCCTGTGGATAGGCCAAGTACCCCCAGGAGTCTTAGTACCCCTGGTCAGGAACCACTGCTCTAAGTCATACACTCATGCATGTAGTCAGTCACACACTTAGCTACACACACAGACAACCCAACCAGACACCCACTCAAACCCACAGACAAAGGACGTTTACCCACGTGTGTTCTGGCTCTGGCCCACACACAGTGCCACACACAAATAGGCACACAGTAAACCATCCAAGAACAGAGCCAATCCCTCCCACAAACAAAATACACCATGTACTTTCCTTTTGTGTGCTTAACCATCCCAACCCTTCTTCCTCTTCCACCCCCCTAGGATTACACCATCACCATGTACTTCCAGCAGTCCTGGAGGGACAAGCGCTTGTCCTACACAGGGATTCCCCTCAACCTGACGCTGGACAACAGGGTGGCAGACTCGCTCTGGGTCCCTGACACCTACTTCATCAATGATAAGAAGTCCTTTGTGCACGGGGTCACAGTGAAGAACAGAATGATCCGACTGCATCCTGACGGAACTGTACTCTACGGCCTCAGGTGAGTGTGTGCGTATCAGTGTTATGTGTTCATGGGCTCCTGTGATGTCAGCGTGGTCCTCTGTAGCTCAGTTGGTAGAGCATGGCTCTTGCAACACCAGGATAGTGGGTTTGATTCCCGGGACCTCCCATACGTAAAATATGTATACACGCATAACTGTAAGTCACTTTGGGTAAGTGCCTGCTAAATGGCATATATTATTGTTTGTGTGTGCGCGTGCACTGGTTGAATTGGGGGGTGTGCCAGGGGGGTTAATTTACTAGCCTAAACAATATATACTGACAAAAGCACATACCACAGTAGGTCCTGGAGGGTGTGAGAAGGTCAGTTCTGGTGACTATGTAAAAGGACATTCTACTCCAAAATAGAAAGATGCTGACATCTCAAATATAATTTCCCTCTCCAGAAATGAGCTCAATAACATATTGGTCCATATTATCAGGCAGGTGTGCTATTTATCACCTGATGTACTCCACCTGATGCAGTATGGTGGCTATAAAGAAATAGGCTGAGGGTTGCCCATCTGCATTCACCCCATTGGGCCCAAATATTAGCTAGAACACAAACACTAGTTAGCAACATATTGATGACTTGAATGTCATAAAAACGTTCCACTGGCACTCAGCCAACTAAGGATCATGTACTGGGAATGTATGCCTACCTGTTACACCTGATCGTGTCTATGCATTCAACGCCATTGGCGAGGACTAACGCGCATAAACCATGCCGCTGCTAAAAACTCAGGGTCTCAAATGGTGCATTTTACTAATTTATTGGATTTAAGAAATAAGTGTAGCCTAGTAACACTAGAAAGCTCTGTGATCCTTCTCTTTTAACAGTGGGCATCAAAACTGCTTTCAAAGGTGTGTTTTCCTGAGACTGCATTAAGAATGTTGTACAATGACTGGGCATGCATATTTCTCTCCGTGTGGCTCTCTCAATTTGAATGTGCCTCGAGAGGAATATAATTTTCTTGCATAGAATGCGACAGGCTGAACTGTAAACTATTCTACTATGGGTTTGTCTGATTTAGCTGTTGCTTACTCGTGTTGTTGGCTGTGGAAAGTTAAATGTGGACAACAATTTTTCATTAGATAATTCCAATAACCAAAGGTACTGGGTTTCAGCTCCGCCTGGCTCTCATTTGGATCATACTGTAGGAGGATCCGGTCCAATTTAACTCGTGTGTGTGTGTGTGTGTGTGTGTGTGTGTGTGTGTGTGTGTGTGTGTGTGTGTGTGTGTGTGTGTGTGTGTGTGTGTGTGTGTGTGGTGTGTGTGTGTGTGTGTGTGTGTGTGTGTGTGTGTGTGTGTGTGTGTGTGTGTGTGTGTGTGTGTGTGTGTGTGTGTGTGTGTGTGTGTGTGTGTGTGTGTATGCTTGTGTGCATGCGTGTCTATGTCTTAGTGTTTGTGTGAGCTTATGAGTGAGAATGAGAGCCGCCCTCCATTTTCTGCAGACTGGTGGTTGGTTGAAAGAGCATGCAACCATAGCTCCTGCACATCATCTTTTGGTGTGTGTGTGCTTCAACTGTACTGGAAAAACTGCACATAGGCAAGGAAAGCCCTCTCAAACAACCACCATTGCTCTTTCTCCTCTGCCTCTGGAGAGTGAGAGGAAGACCCAGGTGGTGAATCATTTATGGAGCCGTACTCCCCTGCAGTCCGGAGCACGGCAACAGCGTAGCCTCGTAGGCTACATGCTCCTTGCCTGGCTACCCAGGCTCCCGCCAAACGCTAGGCCACACCCACTCATGTTCATTTCTTCTCCGCAATGAGTCTGGATCTGAGCACCTCCCTGACGATTTCTAGAATGGAAATCTATTCTAGACGTCTGATTGGTACCAGAAACCGATGGGTTGGGCCAGAGCCAGAACACGTGGGTAAAACGTTGTTTGAAAATTGGCTTCGATACTCTGATTGGTTAGAGATGATCCAATCGCTGATTACTTTTTTCATACATTTTGACGTCACCACAAACGACTTCAATGATGGCAGCGGAGGAATTCAGTTTGAGTCGTCAGGCAAACATGCTCCCCTCCTCGCCTCTGCAGTGCTGAGCCGCGCCGAGCTAACGAAGGGAACTGAAGGGCAGCCACTGTCAATAATGCAGTGGAGATCAGAGGGATTCAGCGCTTTGGTGGGGGGGAATGATGACTTGACAGTTTTTCTAGTTAGATATCCTTTTTTTGAGCTACGAGGCAGATCTCTAGGGTTTGTAGGGAAGATCCAATACAAGTTTATTACTTCAGTCGGGTGGCATATTTTGTAACCATGCCCGTGGATGTGGATTTTGTCAATAGTGCTCTTTTGAATGGGTTTGTTCTAGCCAAAAAGTATAGTTTGTCTGGGAAGGCATTATTTGTGTTGTTTCGTTTTCGTTAACCAGCAGTTGCCGGGACCATCATCGTCGAATTAAAGAAAATCCTGCTCTAGCCAATCACTGACATAAATTTATCAATTAAGTGTGAGGGAGCAAAGGAAACCCAGCGGACACTGAGGCCCTCAAGGACAAGAGTTAGTCACCCCATGCTGTAGCTCATTAACTGGCTGAGTTAAAGGCTAGCTGGTAGTTCTGGGAGATAACATCTGTCTTGAAGATTCAGGCAAGATGACAACACCACAGTTAAACCCAGTAATCTGACTCAGATACATCTCCCCTTTAACCTTTTCAACTCCTCCAGAGTGACCTCAGCTGCTGACAAGACACTCTGTGTGTGATCTGAGTCACAGAACCAATGTGACCGTTGACTGGAATCAAACCTGTGTTGACAGCAAGACACGCCCATCACAAAGAGGACATTGTTATGTCTCTGATCTAGCCATTAGCTCTGAAAGCTAACATATGGCGCTAACATCTGTCTTCAGGTCTCGGGCTAGATTACATCATGGTGGAAGCTAACAACAACCAGGCAATCAATCCCATTAGCTACATTAGCATGAGTTGTGATTGAGCTCAATGTCTAGATTAAAGGCAGTTTGTGTGGTTCATATCGTTGTGAAGACGCTGCAGTGTTTTATACACATCTATGTGGCTTGTTAGGTTAATTAGGGCTGAGACGGAGTCGAGCGTGTGGCTAACCTGGTGTGGTGCTGGGGTGGAAGGTCTTAGATGTGTGATTTGATTAAGTATTGGTTTAGGCTACATAAATCATATTGTCTGTGGCCATTATAAATCTGAGGGGTTATTTTTGGTGCATAGGAGTAGTGTCTGTAGTATCATTTGGTGGAATCCACTGGGCGCAGACGTCATTTCAATGTCTAGTTTTGATTTACATTTGGTTGAGTTGTCAACTAACATGATTTCAACGTGAAATCAAAATGTCACCATGTTATTGGATTTAGGTTAAAAGTTGGGTGAAAAAAATACAAAATTCTCTTACATTGATGACTTTTTGCAAATCCAATCAGTTTTCCATGTTGATTTAACTTCATCACATTGAATGTTTTTGTTGAAATTGTGTGGAAACAACGTTGATTCAATCAATTTTTGCCCAGTGGAAAGGCAAATGTATCACCATTTTGTTGTTTTGGTTGACGCCAAAGGATTTGGTTTTGTGTACCAGGTGGCTGAACAGCATGCTCCTTATTGGCATGAACACGTGTGCCAATAAAGACATGATTATCATGGTAACATTTAGGGCCGGATTGAAACCTGCCATAGCAATGTTTATGCAACCGCTTTGTTTACACATTGAATTTACCCCATGAATTGACTGAATTGAAATTCAACACACACCAACCCTGTCTATAGGCCAACACTCAACTCACCTTCAGCTTTTCTTAGTCCTTTGAAGGGCATATTTAAAGGTAGACTCAGCAACATGACATCATCATTCACAGCAGGACAGATTGCCATGGCTCTTGCCAGTGTGGGCATGCCCACATACTAGCAGCCTTGGCCGATTTGGATTCTGTTGTTGTTGACGTCTGTAAGCAGGAAGTAGCCCTGCTGTGTATGATGGCGTCTTATTGCTGAGTGTACCTTTAACAAATCATTTGAATTGACATTTCAAGCTAGCCTACTGTAGAAAACCACATTAATATATTAAAATATATATAATAAATATAATTATATTATTAGCTTGGTTTGAGTTGAGTTGTCTGCCTGTTGGGTGAGCAGCAGTCGCCTGGGTGCTGGCTGGCACGGGCCTGTGGAGAGATTCATTAGCAATAGCCATGCCTCTCAGTAGGGTCAGGTGAGTCACTCTGCTGGTGCTGGCAGCTCCAGTCTGCCCCAACCATACGCTGCTCTCCCCAGGAGCACTACCATGAAAACCTGCTCCGCTCGCCTCTCATCTCATCTCCAGTCCCCATCTCTTGTCTCTTTAAAGGTAAATGATGCCCAGTGCATCCAGTTATCCAGTGGTACTGTACTGTAGTATACATCCCTTGTTGGTACCAGTTTAGAGTTACAGGAACTGATGATGTTTCAGTTCTCCCCATGTCCCTGACCACTGGTGCAATACTTTTGTTTGTTAACAATAAACAATATATCTTTGGTATGGCTATGTCATTTCCTAAGGCACTTTATACATAAATATCCTAAGCCATGACTGTCATTTTCTTTGACGCGTAGTCATGTAATGCTAGGATGAACCATGACTACGTCATCTTTATGATACTCAGTCAAGCATTATTAATTGACTAACATACTGAACCACGGCTGTTCTTAAGCACTGTCATTCTTCATTGCACTAACAGACAGTTACAATGCACCATAAGCATGTAATTCATGTGGCTATCTGTCAGTGTCAGTGTCTCCCCTGCTCTGATGTCTCCCTCTGATGTCTGGGCCCATTGTGAGTGAGTGCCTGTCTGTGTATAATCTGAATACCACTCTGCCATTCAGTCTTCCTCTCTTCTTCTCTCCCTGCCTCCCTCACGAGAGCACCCAGAAATAACTTGCATGTCATTGTGACAACTTTTCACTTTCATCTGCTTCACTCCTCACACACAATTCTCACAGTTTCACGTCGAGCAGGGAGACGTCTTCACACTCGAATGCTGCACAATTATTATTCCCTGCAGACCACACAATTATTCAGCCAGTGTGCTTCTGCCTGCTGCCTACAGTGAGCCGGCTATATTTAGGCTGCCTGGAATGACCTCACCAGTTACTGTAGTGTACACGTCAGCTGCTACGCTACCTTCACGTTTTTAATGTATCCATCAATACACATATGGCCAGTCTGAATGGTCACTGCACACGCTATCAAACAGTAGGCCTATTAGTTATGCTCAATGAAGATTGATTGAATATGGCAACATGTTTTTAATTCAACCTTTAATCAAATCTAGCATAACGTTCATTGCGGTAATTACTAATTTTTAGGCAGCACTGCCACCTCTACCCCCGGTGCTTCAGCATGTGAAGGAAAAGAGAGTGTATGTGTGATTAACATTTTATGAAGTATAGCAGTAATAACAAAAAGCTTTATTCGCAGTAAAATTTTACAGATTATTTAACAGAACAACTTCTCTCTAGCTAGCACCCTTTTCCTGTTTGTTGTATTATTAAAACAAGACAATAGAGTTGAGCATGTTTTACCTTCATCTTCCCCTGGAAAACACTATCAATCGTTACTGAGTGGAATATCCTGGCTAAATGAAATGAAAATCTTATAACCACTATACTAGTATAACTGCAGACATTTTCAGAGCATCACTTCTCCAATATCAGTCACCCCAGTAGATAGGATTCCTCTCACATTAACAATGCATTACTCTCACCAACTGCATTAGCCATTTCAGAAAACACAAACCAATACTAATGCTGCAGTCAGTCACACCCGTAACATCTATCACGTAACGTGACGCTCATTACCATCACGGATGCAAAGCCCACCTCTTTCCCTGATATGTGTTTGATCTGCATTGATCTGATGGGGAGGGGATGTTACACACTGGGGTAATAGATTGGGAGTGGGAATAGTGTAGTATGGTACACCCTTACTGACACCCCTACGGTATAGAGGAGCTGATGCTCTATTTTTACCCCATCTCTGCAGATGCTTTATAATTCATCCAGACCACCCTAATGCATTTGGTGTGTTTAAGACATGGTCGACAGCCAAATAATATTCAGCTGCAGTGTATGAAAATTGATGAATATTCATGCCCAGGGCTTTTCAGTTCTCAACATCGTTGCGGCTGCAATTGACAGATATTGGTCTCACTGGACACTCGCTATCACTCAGTGAGGAGAATGGCTATGGGCCAGTGAGAGTCATTTTTACAAGGCAGGGCTCTTGGATTGGACGAAGACCAAGACTAATGCACAGCAGACCGCCACTGGACTTTTAGAATGCCCTTTACCTGCATGGTTGTAATGCCACATTCCAAATCGATCCCTAGCCCCTTGGGACTACATCTGGATCTGAAAGTATAGGATTGGTATACTAAACAGTATTGTTATACAGTTGAAGTCGGAAGTTTACATACACCTTAGCCAAATACATTTAAACTCAGTTTTTCACAATTCCTGACATTTAATCCTAGTAAATATTCCCTGTCTTAGGTCAGTCAGGATCACCACTTTATTTTAAGAATGTGAAATGTCAGAATAATAGTAGAGAGAATGATTTATTTCAGCTTTTATTTCTTTCATCACATTCCCAGTGGGTTTAAAGTTTACATACACTCAATTAGTATTTGATAGCATTGCCTTTCAATTGTTTAACTTGGGTCAAACGTTTCGGGTAGCCTTCCACAAGCTTCCCACAATACGTTGGGTGAATTTTGGCCCATTCCTCCTGACAGAGCTGGTGTAACTGAGTCAGGTTTGTAGGCCTCCTTGCTCGCACACACCTTTTCAGTTCTGCCCACAAATGTTCTATAGGATTGAGGTCAGGGCTTTGTGATGTGATGGCCACTCCAATACCTTGACTTTGTTGTCCTTAAGCCATTTTGCCACAACTTTGGAAGTATGCTTGGGGTCATTGTCCATTTGGAAGACCCATTTGCGACCAAGCATTAACTTCCTGACTGATATCTTGAGATGTTGCTTCAATATATCCACATAATTTTCCTTCCTCATGATACCATCTATTTTGTGAAGTGCACCAGTCCCTCCTGCAGCAAAGCACCCCCACAGCATGATGCTGCCACCCCCGTGCTTCACGGTTGGGATGGTGTTCTTCGGCTTGCAAGTACCCCCTTTTTTCTCCAAACATAACGATGGTCATTATGGGCAAACAGTTCTATTTTTGTTTCATCAGACCAGAGGACATTTCTCCAAAAAGTACAATCTTTGTCCCCATGTGCAGTTGCAAACCGTAGTCTGGCTTTTTTATGGCGGTTTTGGAGCAGTGGCTTCTTCCTTGCTGAGCGGCCTTTCAGGTTATGTCGATATAGAACTTGTTTTACTGTGGATATAGATACTTTTTTACCTGTTTCCTCCAGCATTTTCACAAGGTCCTTTGCTGTTGTCCTGGGATTGATTTGCACTTTTCGCACCAAAGTACGTTCATCTCTAGGAGACAGAATGCGTCTCCTTCCTGAGCGGTATGACGGCTGCGCGGTCCCATGGTGTTTATATTTGCGTACTGTTGTATGTACAGGTGAACGTGGTACCTTCAGGCGTTTGGAAATTGCTCCCAAGGATGAACCAGACTTGTGGAGGTCTACCATTTTTTTTCCTGAGGTCTTGGCTGATTTCCTTTGATTTTCCCATGATGTCAAGCAAAGAGGCACTGAGTTTGAAGGTAGGCCTTGAAATACATCCACAGGTACACCTCCAATTGACTCAAATGATGTCAATTAGCCTATCAGAATCTTCTAAAGCCATGACATAATTTTCTGGAATTTTCCAAGCTGTTTAAAGGCACAGTCAACTTAGTGTATGTAAACTTCTGACCCACTGGAATTGTGATACAGTGAATTATAAGTGAAATAATCTGTCTGTAAACAATTGTTGGAAAAATTATTTGTGTCATGCACTAAGTAGATGTCCTAACCGACTTGCCAAAACTATAGTTTGTTAACAAGACATTTGTGGAGTGGTTGAAAAACGAGTTTTAATGACTCCAACCTAAGTGTATGTAAACTTCCGACTTCAACTGTAGATCAGCCTTGACCTCTGATAGGCAATATTAGAGATAACTAGCCAATGCTTTCAGATCAACATACTGTAGGTGCATAGGTAGTAGGGGCTTTGGGATGGCTTTCAAATTTAACATGTACTACTATGCTTTTTAGGTTTTGGCGATGGGTTCGTCACCCAAAACAAAGGAGTGGCAGCTTGAGTGAGTTTTAGGTGCTCAGCGATGCATGACATTTTGCGACAGGAGAAGCTGGACAAAATGGGGAAACTGCAGAGGATCCCTGGAAATGTCTCAAACAGCTAGAGGGCTCAGGTTGGGTTAGGTGAATTCATTGCTGGCTATGACTCACATCCTGGCAGTCTCACTGCCTGTGTGTGTGTGTGTGTGTTTGTGTGTGTGTGTGTGTGTGTGTGTGTGTGTGTGTAAGAGAGAGTCGGTACGCTCTTTTCTTGTCTCACGTCTCCTCTCATTTGACACAGGGATTATGCAGTGGAAAAGGTACACATACACTTTACAGTAATGGTTCCCTGTTCACAATGATAAACCAATGTGCAAACATGTAAGATGTACATATGATGTATAAACACTTATTCTCTGAACATCTTATGTAATTTATGCGACATCTTTTTGAGTGAGGACCCATTACACCTTTTTGTTTGTCTGAATTTGCGGGTTTTACGCACCAGCGAAGCTTCTGGGAGAGCGCGATGATTCCCTTTTGATTAGCTATGAACAGTGACTCCACCACACTATGCTTTAAATGTAATCCTTTACTCAGCATAAGCGGTTTACATTAAAATCAATATTAAATCGACATCCTATTCTTATCGTATATGGTTCGTGAGCAGTGAGAACACAACAATGGATGTGACTCTGACCCCTTCCCTTCCAAGGACCAGCCAACCCCTCGGCAAGCAGCCTGTAATAACATGGCTGCATGTGGCCATAACCTTGACCCTTTTCTGTCAGAGACCAAATGAACGCAATGAATACATAAGCACAGCAATCTCACTGTTTGGGAACATTTTGAGTTTAATCAATACTAAAAGAATGAAAGCAGTGTAGCACAAATTCAATCTGAAATCGTCAAATTGAAGTGTGCTCCTTCAAATGAGACCTCAAAGCGAAGAAGTCACGGATTTTAAAGTCCACCGATTGCCGGGATTTTTTGGGTGTTAATTCTTAATTAATCAGAGTGCTAATTAAGATGGAACATGGAGCATTTCAAAGAGGGAGGGCACAGTCATGACTTAAGCAGTATGAAGGCAATTATGGGTGAGAAACGGAGAGTTCAATTTCCAGTGAAACCATGGAGGGATTTGTGCAATAGAACTCTGAGTATGTACTGTGTGTGCTTCCTGAGTCAATATGTGTGAGAAGGATGCGTTTTTCATTTCTCTCTGTTATTAGGTCAACCTTTTTCACTGTGCACCTGGAAGTGTTTATATAAAATGTTATGAAATGTAACACACACCCCAAAAAACTACATTTTAAGTGTTCCTGGCCATACTGTACTCTTTGTATATGATATACAGTATGTGTGTTCACACAGATTTTATACTGTATGCTCTGCACTTGTAAGGACATACATCATGGTAAGGGTTAGTGAGACATTAGTCCTATGGGGTATGGGGGTATATTTTAAATGTCTGCGCTAGATACAAGAACATTATAGAATGTCTACCATCCCCCACCCCCTCTCTCTCTCTCTCTTTACCCCCCCCCCTCCCCTCTCAGGATCACCACTACGGCAGCTTGCATGATGGACTTGCGTAGATACCCTCTGGACGAGCAGAACTGCACCCTGGAGATCGAGAGCTGTGAGTGACACTGTGTGTGTGTGTGTGTGTGTGTGTGTGTGTGTGTGTGTGTGTGTGTGTGTGTGTGTGTGTGTGTGTGTGTGTGTGTGTGTGTGACATCACTGTAGAGACTTCTCAGCTTCATTTGTGCCGTTTATCACTACTGGGCATGTTTACGAAAGCTTGTCCCTACACACAGATCTGAGGTCTATGTGACTCTATGGGTGCTATTGAATAAACCCTAAAGGGACATGTAGCTAGGGCCAGTTTCCCAGACCCAGATTGAGCCTATTCATGTAGTAAAAGGCACTTTCAATGGTGATTTCCTATTGAGCATGCTTTTTAGTCCAGGAATAGGCATAATCTGGGTCAATGAAACTGGCCCTAGCTACATTTTACAATTATAACATTCTTTCTCTGTTTTAGTTAATCTACACATCTCATGATGACTTTCTCTCAGTCCATTCATTTTCACACATTATTCTGTTACACAGGCCTATGTGCCTCAGGTAAGGTGATTACTCTCTTCCAAACCGTAGCAAAATATCTCCCCATCGAGGACATAACGTACATTAAGCAGGAAGAAAACTGCAGCACTTTACGCCAACTAATGCAAACTGGCATTTCTTGTTAAATCAAACTTGGCCGGAGTGCTTCATTTAAATAATAGATGGTGCATAGTTAACTCAATCTGCACAGACGTGGACGCTTGGCTTTGGGTATTTTGACAAGGTTCTGGAAATCACTATAACGCCTTGTGGAGCTGCTGGATTCATGGATTGACTGGGTTGATGTATTTAATACTTTTGGCAAGACCTTACTCAAACCCTCTATCATGTCATCTGTCTTAATTATGACATACAATTAGCTAGCGTAATAATAATTTTTAGCAACAATCAAGACTGTAAGGTTACTACTCTTTGATGCACCAACACTGCTAGCACTGATGTGGCCAGGCCTTAAAATGTAAGTTCTTATCTTAATTTCACTTTTTGTAATTTTTTTCATTTTATACCCTAATGGAAATATCAGGTCCAACCTTTGCACTTTGCAGTTTCTAGCTGTGGACAATCTGGTCCAGTTTCTAGCTGTGGACAGTCTGGTCCAGTTTCTAGCTGTGGACAATCTGGTCCAGTTTCTAGCTGTGGACAATCTGGTCCAGTTTCTAGCTGGTCATTCTAGCTGTGGACAACTCAGTTCTAGCTGTGGACATCGGTCAGTTTCTAGCTGTGGACAAGTCCTTCACTTGGAAACCCGTACATCTAGTTGCGTGGACACATAGAAAACATCCAGTTCTGCTGTTCTATTCTTCGCAGTCTCATTAAAAAAAACAATCTCCATATTGGTCTACACATTTCTTTACACATTATTCTCCTATACTCTTATGGCTTCTGGGGTGATCTGATAACCCAAGACCCTCTCACACATACATTAAATGGGGAATGGGAAAGAAAGACAAAACACTGATTGAGTACAGGCAGTAAGGAGAAGCAGCTAATTCCCTGAAATCCTGCGGTTCCCTTTAGATAAGCGAAGGAGTCTGAGGGGAGAAAAAGCCAACCCAGTCCAATTAAGTTTGCCTAATTACTGAAAGGCCAATAACTGACTTGTTTCATTCCTGTTCCATCTAATACCAGGCAAAGAAACGTGTTAGAAAAAGACTTGACCCACCGCTTCAGACAAGTATACTCTCAATGACACAGCAGCTTTCTGCCTGTCCATGTTGAATGGCGTTCCATTCTGTCAGATTCTCAGGTGGGTACACCGCCCGTGACATACGGTAGGTAGCCTTCTGTCTGTCCATTTTAGATGATGTAACAGTCTCTCCCTCTCACAGATGGGTACACCACTGATGACATCGAGTTCTACTGGAAAGGTGATAATTCAGTGACTGGGGTGGAGAACATCGAACTTCCCCAATTCTCTATTATAGACTACCACATCCAATCCACAAAAGCAGTGTTTGCTACAGGTAACAATCTGATTACTAACCCTTACAATAGTATATTATTAATTAAAGTTTCTGATGTTCCACTTAAGAGTGTCTAACATTAGAGAATGTGGCAGACTGTAACTGCCACATAAGCACCGGGTAGAAGTTCTCTCAGGCACAAAGAGGATAATCTTACCCCTAAATGCTAAACTGACCTTAGTTCAGCATCTAGGGGGAAACTTCATCCTACTCCGACGTGAAAACTGTGTTTGGTCTCCCAGGCTCCTACCCGAGGCTCTCTCTGAGTTTTAAGCTGAAGAGGAACATTGGCTACTTCATCCTACAGACCTACATGCCCTCCACCCTGATCACCATCCTATCCTGGGTCTCCTTCTGGATCAACTATGACGCGTCTGCGGCCAGAGTCGCTTTAGGTCGGTGTCTTTGGGTTATTCTATGGGTTGTCCATGTGGGGGGCTTTAGGTTAGTGTCTTTGGGTTATTCTATGGGTTGTCCATGTGGGGGGCTTTAGGTTAGTGTCTTTGGGTTATTCTATGGGTTGTCCATGTGGGCGGCTTTAGGTTAGTGTCTTTGGGTTATTCTATGGTTTGTCCATGTGGGGGGCTTTAGGTTAGTGTCTTTGGTTTATTCTATGGGTTGTCCATGTTGAGGGTTTAGGTCGGTGCCTTTGGGTTATTCTATGGGTTGTCCATGTAGGGGTGGTTTAGGTCGTTGTCTTTGGGTTATTCTATGGGTTGTCCATGTGGGGGGTTTAGGTCATTGTCTTTGGTTTATTCTATGGGTTGTCCATGGCGGGGGTTCAATAAAGAATCACGGCTGAATATGTCTTTAGTAGCTTTGGGTTACCAGGTGTAGGCATGTGTTGGTCTGCCTCCCAGGCAGGCAGAATGCACCCTTATACACAGCAGAGCATAGTGTGTCTCTCAACGCACAGTCCCCACGGCAGTGTATACTTGCACACTACCCCCTTAGGTAGATTGCACACATGCACATAACCCCTTAGGTAGAGTGTATACTTACACACATCCCTCTCGGCAGAGTGTACCCTTACACAAAGCACCCTAGGTAGCATAGTGTATACTTATACACACACAGCCCCCATAGGCAGTGTACACTTACACACCACCCCCTAGGCAGAACTTCTACTTACACACTGCCCCCTAGGCGGTATGCATCCATGCGCACGGACACAGTCTGAAGATAGAATAACACACACAGCCCCAAAGGCACAGTTGGGGCTACCTATTCATCCTCCAAAGCACAGGGATTATTTTACCCCATCCACCGACCCATGGGAATATGGGTTTCCTTACACCCACAACATGGAGGTCAGAGATTAATCCTGAAATTCTCAGTCATCCCCGAGTGTGCACACAAACAGCCCTCAGCAGTGTGTCCTTGTGTCCTCACTTTCATGGTTGTCCTACCCCAGAGGCAGTTTGTACCCTTACAAAAAAACACCCCTGACTAGCTACTGACTCACTGGTGTGCATCAGGGATATAACCTGAGTTTAAGGTGAGAGCTGAAATGTACAAAAGCAAACTCATCAGACCTTCTCTGGAACAAGCAGAGAAATAGAGAATCAGTAAACAACAATTTGGGAGGCATTATGAGGGAGCGTTACCGTAGCTAGCGAAGAAACGGTTGCTAACTAACTAACTGTAAAAGTGTAAATATTTAATGCCACAGTTATTAAGCTAGCTAGAGCTACTGCTGCTCCTATATTCTTTGGCTAAATACCATAACGCTGCTTCCGGTCCTTGTTCCTGCTTACAAACATTGTGGCTCCAGTTTTGTTTAGATTTTGCTGATTGGGACGCATCCACTTTCACAGGCTACTGGGTTTAAAGAAAACACATACGGCATACACAGATACTGCATGTGCTTTGAATGGTCAAATGAATGGTCAAATGAATGGTCAAATGAATGGTCAAATGCCTGAAATGTGGTCACATTTTCCAAGTATTTCACACTCTTCTGTCAGCTTGAATGCCTACTGTTTATAGTGTGCAGTCTGGCAGGCTTACTGTTATCAAGATGATGGCACGCTTGGGGGTGTGCTTTAGCCAATGACGCAAACTCAACTCCAGACGGATATAAAAATGTATGGATATATGTGCAAAAATGTAGAATCTTGTCTACTAAGTACAGTGCTGTGAAAAAGTATTTGCCCCCTTTCTAATTTTCTCTACTTTTGCATATTTTTGATACTGACTGTTATCAGACCTTCAACCAAAACCTAATATTAGATAAACGGAACCTGAGTGAACAAATAACACAACAATTACATACTTATGTCATAAACAAAGTTATGCAACACTCAATGTCTTTGCCACCTTTACTTGCAATGACTCCAACCAAACGCTTCCTGTAGTTGTTGATCAGACTCTCACGTCGCTGTGGAGGAATTCTGGCCCACTCTTCCATGCAGAACTGCTTTAACTCAGTGACATTTGTGGGTTTTCAAGCATGAACCCAAACTATCACACTACCGCCACCATACTTGACGGTTGGTATAAGGTTCTTACTGTGGAATGCAGTGTTTGGTTTTCGCCAGGCATAATGGGACCCATGTTGTCCAAAAAGTTATAATTTTGATTCTGTCCATATACATTTTTTCCAAGAGTCTTGATGATCATTCAGGTGCTTCCAGGTGCTTTTTGGCAAACGTCAGTCAATTTCTTGGGCGAGATGGGTCCCATTATGTCTGGCAAAAACCAAACACTGAATTCCACAGTAAAAACCTTATACCAACGGTCAAGCATGGTGTGGTAGTGTGATAGTTTGGGGATGCTTTGCTGCCTCAGGACCTGGACGAAATGCCTTAATAGAAGGAACCATTAATTCTGCTCTGTATCAGAGAATTCTACAGGAGAATGTCAGGCCGTCCGTCTGTGATCTGAAGCTGAAGCGCAGCTGGGTCATGCAGCAAGACAATGATCCAAAACACACAATCAAGTCTACATGAAAATGGTTCAAAAGCAACAAATGTGAAGTTTTGGAATGGCCTATTCAAAATCCAGACCTAATCCCAATTGAGATGTTGTGGCAGGACTTGAAACGAGCAGTTCATGCTTGAAAACCCACAAATGTCGCTAAGTTAAAGCAGTTCTGTATGCAAGAGTGGGCCAAAATTCCTCCACAGCGTTGTGAGAGACTGATCAACCACTACAGAAAGCATTTGGTTGCAGTCATTGCAGCTAAAGGTGGCACAACCAGTTATTGAGTGTTAGGGGACAATTACACACAGGGGAATTGGGTGTTGCATAACTTCGTTAATTAAATAAATAAAATAAGTATAACTATTTTTTTGTTATTCGTAAACTCAGGTTCCCTTCATCAAAAATAGAGAAAATCAGAAAGGGGGAAAATACTTTTTCACGGCACTGTGTCTAATGTGGAACTGATTATGCATGGCTGAGTATTATAGGAGCGTCTCTCTTCCTTTATGAGTCTCACACCTAAGTGAGTAATATACTGTACATCATTTTATACAGTTCATACATGTAGCCTACATTGGTGTACATAGGTTTGGAAGACTTTGGTATATAAAACTACTTATATACTGATAATGACATGAAATTCATATGTTATTTTAATGTAACAGTTTCGTGTAGACCAAACATTGTACGTATAGACAAAAAAAAATCCCAAACGAACAGTGATCTTGAATCTTGTGATCCCAGTACAATTAGCTAATGCAGGGCACCATTTTGCATCCATCTTTTTGTATGAAGTGAGCAGTTGACTGATATGAGGTGAAGTGTATGAGTGATTGGATTGCCGGTGTGCTGAGCCATGTTGAGTTAGGTCAGCTTGTTCTTGTCAACTCAGGCTCTCAAGAGTCTCTGTGTCACAGCGAATGTAGCGTTGTGGCTGAGTGACAACTTCACACTAAGGCACTATCTCTCTGTGTATTGCTCTTCTGAGGACTGTCTCACTAGAATAGAATATCACACTGTTCTGATGTTCTGGATCTATGCTTGTCCAGTGTTTTCACCTGGAGCTCAGAGGTGTCATGCATGTGACGGGCACTGATGGCCACAGTCATCTGACATTTTCACAGGTAAATGTAAATAAGGTATGTATCAGGTCAACGTAGGTAACATATTGGTATGCACCACCTTCAGATCCAAGAAATTCCTAATTTTTCCCTTGTTCCCACAACTTAGTTTAATACGGAGCCAATAATATGAGTGGTTTATTAGCATTCTGACCTTGTACCCCATCCAGAAGTCAATGCATTTAGAATGCAGCTTTGGACTCGGTTGCGTTATTGGTGTGAGGGAATCTTCAAGTCATGCAGAGGGCATTTCCACATCCTTTCTCCATGCTTGTTTACAGTGCATTCAGAAAGTATTCAGACCCCATTACTTTTTCCACATTTTGTTACGTTACAGCCTTATTCTAAAATTGATTATTTTTCAAAATATTTTTTGGGGACAGATATACCTTATTTACATAAGTATTCAGACCCTTTCCTATGAGACTCGAAATTAAGCTCAGGTGCATCCTCTTTCCATTGATCATCCTTGAGATGTTTCCACAACTTGATTGGAGTCCACCTGTGGTAAATTCAATTGATTGGACATGATTTGGAAAGGCACACACCTGTCTATATAATGTACCACAGTTGACAGTGCATGTCAGAGCAAAAACCAAGCCATGAGGTCGAAGGAATTGTCCGTAGAGCTCAGAGACAGGATTGTGTCAAGGAACAGATCTGGGGAAGGGTACCAAAACATTTCTGCAGCATTGAAGGTTCCCAAGGACACAGTGGCCTCCATCATTCATAAATAAAATAAGTTTGGAACCACCAAGACTCTTCCTAGAGCTGGCCGCCCGGCCAAACTGAGCAATCGGGGTAGAAGGGCCTTGGTCAGGGAGGTGACCAAGAACCCACTGGTCACTCTGACAGAGCTCTAGAGTTCCTCTGTGTAGATGGGGGAACCTTCCAGAAAGACAACCATCTCTGCAGCACTCCACCAATCAGGCCTAATGGTAAAGTGGCCAGGCGGAAGCCACTCCTCAGTAAAAGGCACATGACAGCACACTTGGAGTTTGCCAAAAAGCACCTAAAGACTCTCAGACCATGAGAAACAAGATTCTCTGGTCTGATGAAACCAAGATTGAATTCTTTGTCCTGAATGCCAAGCGTCACATCTGGAGGAAACCTGGCACCATCCCTACGGTGAAACATGGTATTGGCAGCATCATGCTGTGGGGATGTTTTTCAGCAGCAGGGACTGGGAGACTAGTCAGGATCGAGGGAAAGCTGAACCGAGCAAAGTAAAGAGAGATCCTTGATGAAAACCTGCTTCAGACTGGGGCGAAGGTTCACCTTCCAACAGGACAACGACCCTAAGCACACAGCCAAGACAATGCAGAAGTGGCTTCGGGACAAGTCTCTCAATGTCCTTGAGTGGCCAAGCCAGAGCCCGGACTTGAACCCGATCGAACATCTCTGGAGAGACCTGAAAATATCTGTGCAGAGACGCTCCCCATCCAACTTGACAGAGCTTGAGAGGATCTGCAGAGAAGAATAGGAGAAACTCCCCAAATACAGGTGTGCTAAGCATGTAGCATCATACCCAAGAAGGGTCAAGGCTGTAATCGCTGCCAAAGATGCTTCAACAAAGTACTGAGTAAAGGGTCTGAATGGAAATGTGATATTTCCCCAAAAAATAAAACTGTCTTTGCTTTGTCATTATGCGGTATTGTGTGTAGATGGATGAGGGGGAAAAAACTATTGAATCCATTTTAGAATAAGGCTGTAACATAACAAAATGTGGAAAAAGTCAAGGGGTCTGAATACTTTCAGAATGCACTGTATATGGTGGTACCCAGAAGTCTCCCATTACTTAGGGCATGTGTCTTGAAAGACAAAGGCCTGCACACGCTGTATAGGAGTTGAAGTGCCCTCATCTGAACCCGTAAACTAACCCTGACCCTGAGCCTTTCCTTCCTTTCCCTTCCTCCCCCAGGTATAACCACTGTGCTGACCATGACCACCATCAACACCCACTTGAGAGAGACTTTACCCAAAATCCCCTATGTCAAGGCTATTGACATCTACCTGATGGGCTGCTTCGTGTTTGTCTTCCTGGCCCTGCTGGAGTACGCGTTTGTCAACTACATCTTCTTCGGTCGGGGGCCTCACTTGCAGAAAAAGGTGGCAGAGAAAGCAGCTAAAACCAATAACGAAAACAAGAGCCGTCTGGAGAGTAACAAAGTGCAGGTAGGGGTTGGGGGTAATCTCGCGTGTCGTATTCAAAGTCTCTGGCATATTATTGGCGACCTCCCGAGTGGCGCAGTGGTGTAAGGCTGTGCCACTAGAGATCCTGGTTCGAATCCAGGCTCTGTCGTAGCCGGCCGCGACCGGGAGACTCATGGGGCGGCACACAATTGGCCCAGCGTCGTCCAGGGTAGGGGAGGGAATGGCCGGCAGGGATGTAACTCAGTTGGTAGAGCATGGCGTTTGCAACGCCAGGGTTGTGGGTTCAATTCCCACGGGGGGCCAGTATGAAAAATAAAAATAATATATATGTATGCACTAACTGTAAGTCGCTCTGGATAAGAGCGTCTGCTAAATGACTAAAATGTAAAATGTTATGAGTTTAAATGTTTTCCAAACTTCAAATGCTCAAAGCTCATGGTCTGTTGTGTTCTGTAATATATTGTGACCTCGCTTCCTGTTGCCATCTCCCTCCCTAGGTGGACGCCCACGGCAACATCCTCCTGACCAATCTAGAGATCCGTAACGAGATGGGTGGGATGGGTGGCATGGCCGGGATGACCGGGGCCGAGATGATAGGGGCTCTCAATGACCCGCGGGCCACCATGTTCTCCTATGACAGCGCCAGCATACAGTACCGCAAGCCCATGGCCAGCCGAGATCTGTATGGTCGACCGGCCCTCGACCGGCCCGTCGGCCACAAGAAGAGTCGTTTGAGGAGGAGGGCGTCGCAGCTCAAAGTCAAGATCCCCGACCTGACGGACGTCAACGCCATAGACAAGTGGTCCCGCGTCATCTTCCCCATCGCCTTCACCTTCTTCAACCTGGTCTACTGGATGTACTATGTCCACTAGGGGGCGTGGCTATTCTCACTAGAGGTTTGTTTAGCTAGCTAGGTTCTTGTACAGCGAGGGTAAAAGAAAGGGGCGTTCAGCCCCCTGTTTATATGACTTCTGTTTGAGGAATGCGAGGCGAAGCGGATGTCTTTTCAATGTAAATACAGTTTAATATATTATATAAATATATATATATAAAAAATATAAATATAATTTAATAAATTCTCTCACCTTTTTGCTGTATTCATCCGTAAAAAGTAGAAATAGTGAAAATTAGTACAGAATTAAAGACTCGGTGAAGCCTGCATTTCTAAGTCTGAACTTTATGCCAAAAATAGACTTTGGTGACTTCATTGTTACTGATAGGCTGCAATGGAATTTTATTTATTGGAAATCCTGTTCTCACCTTATTTCCTCTCACCCTCTGCATGCGAACTGTAACACAACTTTTATTTGCTTCTAAAGAGAAAAAAAGCCCAGTGCAAAAACCATGGGTAATAACAAAGACAATTTTCTCTTGGTTAAACCCTATCTTGTGATTGAAGTAAATCCTTGCTTGTTTAAACTTCATTCTGTGGTTTAGGAAGTCCTTGTTTGGTTGAACTCCAGCTCTGTGAATAAGGTAGTCCTCATTTTGTTTAACTCCATGCTATGACTAAGTTCATCCTCAATGAAGTATTAACTCTCCATACCATGATTAAGGCAGTTCTCATTGAGTCCCCACCTTGTGACTAAGGCGGTATTCAGCGAGTTGAAGAACATGCTACCTTGCATGTTCTTAATGTGTGACATGATTTTGTTGGTTTATGCTAGGTGCATGTGCGCTTACCTGCTTTTTGCACTGTAAAACAAAGCCTGTTTTCTTTCCTTTGTATAAAAAGCTTAGCAAAGCCTCCATAGTTGAGCCTACCTGTATTATAATCATTCTACTGTGTGCTTTTGAACAACAAGCATTGCATTTACCGTAAGTACAGGACAGAACTGAATTGGAAATAGACTAATCTCAAAAAACGAAATTTGTTCAAATTTGTATCTATTCTCACAGCGTCTGTGAGCATGTAAAATGTAATTTTCTTTAAAAGAAATCAGGTAAAGAATGACTTATGATGTCACCACGCTTTCGAAACCACATCAAAACATGCAAGCCCTGATAATACATGCTGTAGATGGTTGAGCCAAGTGCAGCCAATACAACATTTTTTCAATTACACAGTACTGTATAGCATATTTGCACACCGTATATTAGCCTATAGTGCAGCTCAGCTATTCAAAACGTTATTTGTTAAATGGCAAACACTTGCAGTAGATATACTAACGTTAACATTATACTAAATTCCACTCATAAACACCTTGGCCCCTGTGAAAACTGTTCCAGCATCAGAAAAACTGGCATAGAATAACAATAGGTTTTCTACACCTATAAGATTTGCCATGAAAATCCATTGACCTCGTTGCTTTGGTGCATAAAAAAAACAGGAGCGATGGTCGGGGGTTATTTGGATTTCAATGGATTTCTTGACTTCCCTGTTATTATACTCAAGACTGATGATCAATTGTATGAACCTGAACACTTCCCTGTAATTCCCACTTGTTTCATTGCTGGTTTCATTGCTGGTTTCATTGCTATTGTAGAAAAAGCTGTGCCAGAATGGCTACTATATTAGTTCAACAAAACAAATCGGATACGTAGCTATAGCCTAGTTGTAAAGGTGTAATTTGGTAGCATTAAAGGGCAGCAATTAGTGCCACAATAGGTGCATTTAGTAAGCTTATACAAGTAGGCTATGTGGTTTAAATTAAATGAGCGTAGGTTGGACTCCTTTGTATTACATCCTTTGTAACCTTACAATTTGGATGATGGGGAAAAAAACCTAAACTTGCGACGTAGCATTCTATGTGATTCTAACTTTTATTGACACACTGATAACATCCTGCAGTGCTCTGTGTTTGGCAGGCCACTCCACATCCAAATCTGGCCAGTCCATGTCTACAGTCCTCAGATGATGACATTTTGCTCACATTTGGAACTAAAATAACATATCTAAAAAAATAAAATTCCATGGCTAAAATGGTTTTGCTCATGACTATTGCTTTGCTTAGCTATCAAAATGGCCAGTGACTACTTTGATGTAACTACTTTATTATTATAATAGCGGGTGGATTCCAAGTAGACATCTGAACTGCTTGTGTTATCAGGGCTTACCAAAACAAAGCAAAACCAGATAGGCTTCTACATGACACAATAAGTAGCAGTGTGCTCTCTCCTCATGGCTGAATATTGTGCCTTTAACAAGAATCTCAATATTTTCACAGGGTTTAACTTAACTTATAACTAGTGTGTAGAATTTAAAACTAATAAACTTGTACTTTTTTTAGAGAAGATTAAGAAATGAAACTGCGGTCAACAACACAGACTGACTTTTATGACGCTCTAAATACATACTCAAAGTAGATAGTAGTCAGACATTCCAGCATTTATGATGACAATCTGTGAATTCAATGCAGAAAATGTCCTGCAAGTTTGGTTTTGTTGCTGTTACTGTCATTGTTTTCAGGTGGAATGGAATTCTATGGTCTGGTGAAAAATAAAATCTTCTTTCCACTCAGCAAAGACTCTCACATAACAGATGGGACACATGTTTTCTTTGGACGGCTTTAGTGAAATGGAAGCCTTAACAACTGGCTTCCCTCAAGCTTCCAAGGGATAATGAAATGTACTGAACTCTATTGTGTGAAATTACTGTACAATTTTTTCTCTTGTGCTCTATATGTGCTCTCATGTATAAAGGAGTGTGTGTGTGTGTGTGTGTGTGTGTGTGTGTGTGTGTGTGTGTGTGTGAGTTTGAGTGTCCTGGCGTGTTTGTCAGCAAGCATGTGTGTTTTTCTGCTTGGTAACGTGTACAAGCAAGCATGTGCGACCGGGAATGTGTGTGTGGGTGTTTGTGTAAGAGAGAACACATAATCATACAAATCCTTTGTTTGAGATTGTAAGGAATTCAAATAAAATAACTGACATCTCACCAACCCAATAAAAGCTTCACTCTCATTTAACAATACTAACTTCAAAAGGGTCTTAGTTTGTCTCCAATATAGTGCTGTTTGCTAAACTGCATCTTCAATTCAGTGCTAAAACATGATGCATGGGAGAAATAACTTGAACTTTCAATGGTATACACCCATTCTGTACTGGCATCTTTAGAAGTCAATCTACATTCTCCTCAAGAGATCTAAGGTCGAAGATAAAACTCAAGCGACTGAGCAAAGAGTAATGCCATTAGACCAGTTAGTAGGGCCATGCGCTGTAGTGCCACTCTCATTAATAATCAGACAGGCTGCCATCTAATCTACTGTAGGGGCATGGCTATGACACAAACGTCACCATGGGTTACGCATGTGATAACGGTCCACAGTTAGAGGGAATCCGTGTGGATGAGTTATGGAGATTCATTTGGATGTAATTGCCTTTATTCCACACAGTGGGCAGTGTGTGCGAAGGAGGGAAACCATGTGACAATTGTGGGATGGGTCTTCAAATGAAGCCTTCGGACATATAGGCTATGTAACACTGTCATTAAAATGACCTAAGTATTATTGCATTGAAAAAATATGTTTTAATTGTTTTTATGGCCTGTGTAACATTAGTGCAGTTCAGTTTAAATGGTTACCATGACCTATTAGGACAGCCTCATGAGGACAATGACGACAAATCATTCCCCCGTCTGACATGAGCAGGATAAGCTGAGAGATGATCAAATCATAAGCAACATTTGGCAGGGCGTTAGGACACTTGCATCTTCTCTTAAACAAGCTTTAGGGTATTATGCTTCTGGTTGTGTCTGTCTGTGTGTGTGTGTGTGTGTGTGTGTGTGTGTGTGTGTATTACAGAATGAGACATGAGTTCCCCTAAAGGCACCAAAAAGTCCAACTTTGGGTGGGAGGGGTTCTCTAAATATTGATAATTTGAAGAGACGAGCGCCGACAGCAAGATGCATTAATCTCACCCGAGAAAGGATCCGAGCGACCGAAACAGCGCCGCTCTGTCTCAGTACATGTAGCCAATGTATCTGATGCTGTCTGGCCAAAAGGAGTATGACATGTATTTTTGGCCAGGCAGCATCAGATACATTCAGCCACTTGCGAATTGAAGGAAAATTGTTAAAAACACAGAGACAAGAAATAAATCATTTCATATGTTTAATTGTTTTATTATTAACATTTTGGGGGAAGCATGGCTTCCTTTGGCATCCATGAATACACACCACTGTGTAGGCCTAATGACAAGCGCTGAATGTCATTACACTTATGGTGTTTGTAACAGATGTCTCTTTCCATTCATCAAATGGCGGGTGCATAGGGCACTGTTTGGATGCTGGATTTAGAGTGATTAAGTGAGACAAACGTGATTAAGTGATTTTTTGACAATCAGATGAAAACGTCACATTAAAATGTAATACATTTTTACAGTTAAAATGTGTCTTTACTATTAGGCCCATAACATGCTGACCACACCGCCCGCCTTGTGTGCGAGCATTGCAAAATAAAATGTACAGACATGTTATTCAATAATTTCATCCAAACTGCTTGTGCGCATCTGCGCTGCAAGTCCTGCCTCTCCCATCTCCTCATTGGTTTTTAAGAGCATCTACCCACGTCGGTGATTGTAAGATGAATGAGCTCCACTCCAGTCCAGTTGATTGCGGTAATGCACCTTGAAGTTGGTTGCCAACCGCCATATAAAATCCACAGAAGAAGACTGAACGAGGAGAGATTACTAGAAACTAACTAGGTTTCCCCTTTTATCTGTGGATTAATTGTTGGAGTAGAGAACACACCATTTTGTGTGACTCAAAATTAGATTAAAAAAAAAAAAAAAAAAAAAGGACCAATGTTTATATCCCAGGACAAATTTGCTCAACAGCAAGCTAGCTAGGTAAATGTCCATGAATGTTTCATATGCGTTTTGACCTGTCCCCAAATGAATATAGTTGGTTCAGAGTGCGTTTTGATATTTCAACCTGCGTGTCCTGATCCGTCTGGTGGGGATAGACAAACTCAACATGCACGCACGGCACCTGTTTCATCATCATGTAAAACATTTTTGTGCAGCCAATAGAATGTCACTGTATAATTTGCACTCTGTGTATTTGTTCAAGCAAGATGCAATCTTGCAAAGCCAGGTTACTTCTATAAGAAATGACTACAGTAACCGCAAATCCTGTATATGGCCAACTAGAACACACACTGGGTTCTCATGCAAGACTAGAGACTTTTTTCAATGTGGTCTTTCTTTTTATATAACTCATTAATGCATTATAGCATTGCCATATTGTGGTCCAGATGTGATGAATTTAAGAAAAAAGGGAAAGTTAGGCCCTCCATGACTCACTACCCCCCCACTGCTGTTTTCTTGCATAACATCATAGGCGTACGCAAAGGAAGATTTTGCACAGTGTGATCTGTATTAAATATTCAATAGACAGATGAAAAGTACATTTTCAACCTTCATGGAAGGGGTATTATTTGGTCTGATATATAACGTTAGTTCAACCCTCATGGAAGGGGTATTATTTGGTCTGATATATAACGTTAGTTCAACCTTCATGGAAGGGGTATTATTTGGTCTGATATATAACGTTAGTTCAACCCTCATGGAAGGGGTATTATTTGGTCTGATATTTAATGTTGCCTCTGGGGATGGATGACCTTGCCAATATTTTAACCTAGCCAATCAACAGAGATCAGGAAGAGACAAAGAGATGAAGCCATTTCAGAGTATGGAGACAGAGCTGTAGGCTAAAATACATTCCATTGAAGAAAAGGTCAAAATAAGGTCAAACATTAGTATTTTTTGATACAGTAATGGAATGGATTACAAATAAAACCAGCAAAACAACAAGTACAAAAAAAGACTGCTGCAGTCTTGGGAATATATATCTCAGGCTGCAGTACGATTCTCTACCCTTCTCCCCAAAATGTGCACTCATTCACTCCCCCTCATGGATTTAAAAGAAATTGAATAAAAGGAAAATGGTGCAACACCCACTATCCCATGCTTACACAAATTCAATGCTTTGGAATTAATTAGGGGAGTGATCTAGTACCCATTAGAGCTGAAGTGTAACGCCTGGATCACACAGACAGCGTCATTGCGTTTTGGTACACCAGAAGTACATTCATTTCCAATGGAACGCTGTGCTTGCCTTGCTGCATTGCGTTGCAGAGGCAGTTGCAGGGCGTTCTGTGTGGTGCATATGTTGGATTTATCGAACGTATGCATCAAATTATATGTGTAGAAGGATTGACAGAAAAGGTAGCAGAAGGTGAATGTTGAACTTTTGTTGCACACATATCCAGATGATGCTGTGTACCATTTTCCGCAATGACGCTGTAGGTGTGATCGAAGCGTAAGGAATCAGTGCCTAGTGGGTTGAAGGCTAAGACTTGTTTCTGGATCGGACCACTGTTTCCCTATATCATAGCTCAGTGTCCCTCTATGATGACATAACACGTCCCTTTAATAAGAGCCATAAATAAAAGTGCACAGTGAAATGTCTCTCGCTGCCATCACTTCAGCTGTAGTACCACCTGTAAGGACACAAACACACACTGTCAGGATACACACACAGAGGTAAAGTGTGCACATAGAGATAGATAGAGGGCTCTTGTGCCACAAAGCCTGCTTTAGCATAGACAGCACCATTGAGGGCTTCCACCATTTTAAAGTCGTCAACTTGGTGGGACTTACTATGGGTTAAGAAAGGATTAGAGCCCGAATGATATGATTTTTTGGGTCCGATACCGATTCCGATTTTAGGGGGGGCAAAACTTACCGATATGTCTGCCGATATACTGTTTTACAGCAGGGAACTGAAAAAGTGTCATTTTTCCACACAGAGTTTTCATAAATTGCCATCCAGAAGAGCAATTGTCCAATAACTATGCTTCAAATGTTGATTTCATACATTGTAACAATAATGACACCTCATGAGAATGGCAGCAAGTGTTCAGATCAGCATGAAATTCCCTTTTTTTATCCTATTTATTGAATATCGGTTATCAGTGGAGTTATCGGCCAATACCGATATAGCGTTAAAAGGCCAATATCAGTGAACTGATATATATATCGGTCGGGCTCTAGAAAGGATCACAGAATTCTATTCAGGTCAGCTGGAGGGGTCAGCCAATGAATTACACTCCTGAGCAAACATTCCATAACTGCAGGTTGCAGTATATCACCAACATTGGCTTTATACCTGTTCAGACTATACACACTCCAGCACAGTAGATTTTGGTATGACCATTTTTTGTTTATTTACGAACTGCCAATAAACTCAAAGGTAGAAGAATAACAAATGGACTACTTTAAAATGGAGATAGGCAGTACCTTTGAGGCCTATGCTGTCACAGAAAAGACCACTGTATAGATAAGAGAAGGGCTCTCTAGTATCTCTAGGGCCGTGTCTAGACTTGACAGTTCATGCAGCTTTAGTATTCTGATCATAGAGTTCTGTTCATGGAATTCCGAACGCGTCATGCGTCTACACCTACATTTAAATGTGTCTACCGTGTCCACAGTGTGTCCGGATTCCCTATTCCTGCGCTATATTCAAATGCCAGTATGCATTCTAAAAACGGTGGAATAGGCTAAATATGATAACACAACAACAACTGATGGCAGTAGCTAACTAACTATTGTAGCTAACTAGCCAGCTAACCTCTGTAGCTAGCAAGCAACGCTAAAGGGATTGCAAACGGGTTAGCATGACTCTAGCCAAAAAAAAAAATTGTTTTTCTAAATATTAGCTAGCTGGCTAGCATTTCTGAGGCCAGCAAACATGTTCCTCACACGCTAGGAACGTATTTCCTCTAACGTTATAATGAAAATGTGCTTCTCGGTCCCAAAACAAAAGTTTTCTGGAGACTTGTGGGAGGAGTGCTAATGAGGGAAAGTGTACAGTCAGACTATGAACTGCTGTTGGGATACAAATATGTTTCTGTATAAAATCACTCCTGTAATACACACACACACAAATGTATTCTAGGACAGGGAATATGGAGAGACTGGGAAAAAACAATAAGTGAATGAGGGCACAAAAGCTGGCAGAAATCACCGGCTATTATGCTCTGACATCAGTAGATGTAATGATATTAGACTATTGGTGGAACTGCCAAGAAAACTGTTCTCAAGCCATCCAAATCATACCCTCCACTGATGCTGGCCAAACTCACACACGCATGCATACACATACGCAAGCACTCACACACACAAGCACACATGCTTTGCATAACTATGCACCACTGAAACATTGGACAAAACAACACACTGACGCATTCGATCGGCAATGCCCCACACAAGTCAATACCCTAATAATGTGTGTATGTATGTGTAAGTGCATGCACTTGTGTCCCCGAAGGTTGTACCTTATTGGCAGCCTCCAATGAGCTGATGAGTGTTTGTAATTCCTCTCTGTTCATCTCGACAGATAGAGGCTTCAGGGCACCGTTCTCCTTCACGTCCAAACTGAGATTGAGTAGGGTCTGGAGAGACGAGATCTTATCGCTGGACAATGCCAGCTGAACAGAGAAAGAGAGAGCGAGAAAGAGGCTTAGGATTCAAATGTATAGAAATCATTGTGGTAGCAGTAGTAGCATAGGTAGTGAACCATACCTCAGCATTTCACCCAAATGATATAATTGATACCACATAATTTCTCACGTAATTTCTGCATACCAGGTAAAACCCAGCTGAAACAGGACTGTAAAAAAGCATAACCACTTTTTTCATTTGACCTGTATTTAACCAAGATATCCCATTGAGATAAAAAAATATCCTGACCAATCAGTTTACCAATCAAACAGAGATTGTTAACTCCTCACTGTAGTGCAGGAAATTCACCTTTATCTGCCAGTCAAAATCCTGGAGGGTTGAGTTGGACACGTTATTGGTCCTCTCCACCAGCGCCTGACGGATCTCCTCTCGTCTGGCCCTCAGGACAGTCAGCACGGCCTCCCCGTACCCACTGCCCACGTCTGCCAACGATGCCAGCACCTGCCCAAAGCAGAAGAGGTTGGCAGTTGCAGTAATAATCATTCATACTGTATATTCAATATTAATCTGCAAACTACACAGTTGAAATTCAAAATAACTTGTGTGGGATGGTACAGGTACAAAGTATATTGAAAGCAGGTGCTTCCACACAGGTGTGGAGCAATTAACATCCCATCATGCTTAGGGTCATATTTTAAAATGCCCAGTTGCCCATTTTTTTCGCTAACATGACTAGAAGAAGAGATCTCAGTGACTTTGAAAAGGAGCATAGGGGGTTTAAAGAGTGTGTGTAAGTGACCAGATCGCTTATGGGAGATTCTGGAGCGGCGCCTGAGACAGCATTTTCCACCACCATCAACAAAACACCAAATTATAGAATTTCTCGTGGAAGAATGGTGTCGCATCCCTCCAATAGATTTGCAGACACTTGTCAAATCTATGCCAAGGCGCATTGAAGCTGTTCTGGCGGCTCGTGGTAGACCAACGCCCTATTAAGACATTATGTTTCCTTTATTTTGGCAGTTACCTGTACATTGGCCTACATTAAACAACACACATGATACACAAAAACTGTCAACACAGAAGACACAGGACATACAATATTTATTTATACAACATTACTTTTGTAAATATGTTCCGCAGCTCTTGTCTTTCCCATCTGGTGCCACAGCTCCTGGTGATTGTGCAATGAATATCAAACGGCTGGTCTTGTTTCAGTCTGCCTGTAATTCTATTTACACATATAAAACATTTTGTTCATCAGTTTCGCAACTGAAACAGAGGAGTCTGTGTCCCTGTAATTTTTCATGAGTATTGCCAATAACTCGCTACTGAAATAATTTTGCTACTAAATTAACTCATATAGTGCCAGCAAAAGTCTACACAACCTTTGCACAGGTGTCACATTTTGCTCTCTTAAATTAAAATCTAACAATAGATTAAGTTGGGATTTTACCCCACTGATCGACAAACTACTTCACACTTTCAAAGTGAAAGAAAAATAGACAAAATATATGAAGATTTATTGATTGAGTAGGTCTTCACACCACTGATATGAATTAATACTTGATGGAAGCACTTTTGGCAGCAATTACAGCTGAAATTATTTTGAATAAAGGTTCCACCAACTTTGCACAGCCCTTGGGGCAACATCTATCCATTGTTCTTGTCAGAATTGATCAAGCTCAGTCAATTTGGTTGTAGATCATTGATGGACAGCAATATTCAAGTATTGTCTCTGATTTTCACACAGATTTAAATCAGGGCTGTATAATTTGTTCCCCTGAAACATAAATATATATCCTAGTGTAAGGTCTTCAGAATACTAAGGCATGTTTCCTCTAAGTTTTTACCTGAGCTTTGCCCCTTTCATATTTATTTTGGTCATGACAAAACTCCCCAGTCCCTGCCGGTGACAAGAATACCCATAACATGATGATGCCACCACAATTTTTGAAAATATGGAAGGTTAACTCTGTGTCACGGGCTGATGTGGATGCGGTGTTGGAGTCAGGCGCAGGACACAGAAGCTTAGTCGATCCGACTTTAATAGTCACAGAGGCAAAATACAAAAAACAACGGGCCTCAACACACAGGAGGCGAGCGATTACGCAAACAGTGCTAAAGTGCGTAAAGTGCGTAAAGCACGAACAACAAGAAAACAATAAACCTACACCAACGGACAGGCGTACAACAACACACAACTACAAACAAAACCAAAGGAAACTTATAGCTGACATAATCAATACATGATATGAAACAGGTGCACCAACCAGACAAAACCAAACAATCATAGAGAACATCAAAACGGTAGCAGCTAGTACTCCGGGGACGACGAACGCCGAAGCCTGCCCGAACAAGGAGGAGGAGCAGCCTCGGCGGAATTCGTGACACTCTGTGATGTGTTGGGTTGGATTGGCCCTAAACCGAAAGTTTTTGCCAAAAAGTGTATTTATTTGTTATGTTCTCTTAAAAAGTATTACTTAATGGCCCTTTTGCAAACAGGAAGGATGATTTTGAATAGAGTTTATAGCACACACTTTCTTCTTTCCACTCTGTCATACAGGCCAGTAATGTGGAATGAATGCAATGTTGCTGATCCAGCCACAGTTCTCTCAGCTCAGCAAATGAACTCGGTGTCTGTTTTAAAATCACCTTTGGCCCTATAGTGATATCCCTGAGCAGTTCTCATTCTCTCCCATAGCTCTGTTAGGAAGGACTGCCAGATCCTCTCAGTACCCAGTTGATATGTAACACCAGCAACAGCTTAATTGCCATACTTGTCCATATTCAAAGGGGTATTCAGTAACTGTCTACACATTTTAAGCACTTTGCTGGCTTTGAGGTTAAATCTTTGTTTGAATTATACAGAGAAAGAGGAAGTTATTCAAAAATGATCAAATTACTTTTTGCCACTATTACTTCTGCACAAACAAAACTACACTGAACAAAAATATAAATGCAACACGTAAAGTGTTGGTTCCATGTTTCATGAGCAGAAATAAAAGATCCCCGAAATGTTGGTGAGCATTTCTCCTTTGCCAATATAATCCATCCACCTGACAGGTGTAGCATATCAAGAAGTTGATTAAACCGTATGAACATTACTCAGGTGCACCTTGTGCTGGGAACAATAAAAGGCCACTCTAAAATGTGAAGTTTTGTCACACAACACAAAGCCACAGATGTCTCAAGTTGAGGGAGCGTGCAATTGACATGCTGACAGCAGGAATATCCACTAGAGCTGTTGCCAGAGAATTGAATGTTCATTTCTCTACCGCCTCCAATTTCATTTTAGAAAATGTGGTAGTACGTCCAACCGGCCTCACAACTGTAGACCACGTGTAACCACACCAGCCCAGGACCTCCATATCCGGCTTCTTCCCCCTGCGGGATCGTCTGAGACCAGCCTCCTGGACAGCTGATGAAACTGTGGGTTTGCACAACTGAATAATTTCTGCACAAACTGTCAGAAACCATCTCAGGGAAGCTCATATGAGTGCTCGCCATCCTCACCAGGGTCTTCAGTAGGCAAATGCTCACCTTCGATGGCCACTGGCATGCCGGAGAAGTGTGCAGTCACGGATGAATCCCGGTTTCAACTGTATGGCGTTGTGTGGGCGAGCAGTTTACTGATGTCAACGTTGTGAACAGAGTGCCCCATGGTGGCGGTGGGGTTATGGTATGGGCAGGCAGGCATAAGCTACGTACAACGAACACAATTGCTTTTTATCGATGGCAATTTGAATGCACAGAGATACTGTGAAGAGATCCTGAGTCCAATTGTCGTGCCATTCATCCGCCGCCATCACCTCATGTTTCAACATGATAATGCACGGCCCCATGTCACAAGGATGTGTACACAATTCCTGGAAGCTGAAAATATCCCAGTTCTTCCAAGGCCTGCACACTCACCAGACATGTCACCCATTAAGCATGTTTGGGATACTCTGGATCAACGTGTACAACAGCGTGCTCCAGTTCCTGCCAATATTCAGCAACTTCGCACAGCCATTGAAGAGGTGTGGGACAACATTCCACAGGCCACAATCAACAGCCTGATCAACTCTATGCGAAGGAGATGTGTCGTGCTGCATGAGGCAAATGGTGGTCACACCAGATACTGACTGGTTTTCTGATCCACGCCCCTACTTTTTTGAAAGATATCTGTGACCAACAGATGTATATCTGTATTCCCAGTCATGTGAAATCCATAGATTAGGGCCTATTGAATTTATTTCAATTGACTGATTTCCTTATATGAACTGTAACTCAGTAAAATCTTTGAAATGTTTGCATGTTGCGTTTATATTTTTGTTCAGTGTAATTGCGTGATTTTTTAAAGAAAATACTTGTTTTTTTACTTATTTAGATGTGCCACAAAGGGGTGTGTAGATCTATGCAATCAAGATATCTTATTTTTCCCCCCTTCATTTTAGAAAATTTCAAAAAATAATGTTCTGCTTTAAAAGTGTGGATTAGGTTGTGTAGATCTGGCACTGTATGTAACGTTTATTAATTGAAAATGTAGGCCTGGGTGTTGGCATTGAACGTTACTATGCCGTGCCAAATACACATTCTAGGGGGACACAGTAGTCTGATGCCTGGTTGAACTTTCAATGGCCCCTCCTGTCAAGAGACAGAAAACAGATCACTAGTAGATATCCCAGGAGAGTCTGAAACCTGACGCCTGCCTTCCACCAGAGTGGCAAACAAACTGAAACCTGAGACCAACATACTGTATACACCTGACACACCAAATCCACTGTCTACTCTGCAGCCATAACAAAACACAACATACCACATACTGCAGCCCTCACACAGGGGGTGCCCATTGCCCACTTTTGTTCTAGCCCAGCAATAAAACACATGGTTCAATCAAAATGTACACCCCCTGAGCATCCCTCAGGAATGGATTGAGAAATATTGACCAAACCCAATACCCTTCACACTCCTTACAAACCCAGTACACTGCCGGCATACACAATACATTGCAGCCGTCAAGAGGCCCTACACAAACCTAATACACAGTGAAGAGCCCAACACAATGTAACTGCCAGAAGAACCCTCACAAACCAGTGAGCCACTGCATTGCACATCTTAGAAACCCAACTCCCCTCACATCTGAGTCAAGGGTCAGTCATACATGGAACATGACTCAAAGTCAAACATGCATGATAAAACTCAAAAGACTGCTCCAAACTCACTGACTATGGTCTCACCTCTTCGTCTGGGGTCTTCTTACCCACGGTGAGCCGGAACAGAGAGGAGAAGGAGACGAGGAGCTCCATCCATTCTACAAGGGTCCACGTATCACCGTAGTCTGCCATCCGAGGGGGCTCCCGCCCACACACACCGTCTACCACCCTGTGTAATAGCTGGAGGAGAGAAAGTGTGTATCATCATCATGTTAAAGAAATGTATTGCGGTCCTTTTGTAGCCTATGCTGGGATTTAATCTATCCACCCAAAACAAGTCAGTAAACAATGCCATGCCCATGTTTGTGTGGCAGTCATAGTGTTTTTGAGTAACTGACATATCTGCATTATTTGGATTTACAATCAAGCATCATGCTCCCTCTGCTGGTCAATTGTTGGTTCATCAAGGGCTTATAACAATAACACACTTTGCCAAATCGACACTTATGCGTGCTAGCTAATGGAAAAGTTAATTTAATTAATAAATTTTCCTCCTACGGAAAATTAATTTAATTAATACATTTTCCTCCTACAATGGCCTGTTGCTATGTAGCTACACATTGTAAAGGTGATATGTGAATGCTTCCATACAGCCGTTACACCTTAGCTACTGTAAAGTGTAGCATGAAATGTTTCAATTAACCTGTTCTTGGTGATACTTTGCTCATTCTCAATTTGGGAAAAAAGTGTATCCTATAATTGTCTGTGTCCAGTTACAGGTGGTTCTACAAAAACCAGAGAACATTCAGAGAGACATTAAATCCATGTTTTGTACCACGCGAGGAGTTTCCTCGCCATGTTAGCTGCCACACATCTAGCATTTACCTCCCTCAGATGATCACTCAAGCCATGAACTTTCTAATGACCAGTGGTGGAAAAAGTACACAATTGTCATATTTGAGTATAAGTAAAAATACCTTAATAGAAAATGACAAGTAAAAGTGAAAGTCACCCAGTAAAATAATACTTGAGTAAAAGTGTAAAAGTATTTTGTTTTAAATATACTTAAGTATCAAAAGTAAATGTAATTGGTAAAATATACTTAGGTATCAAAAGTAAAAGTATAAATAATTTCAAATTCCTTATATTAAGCAAACCTGACAGCACAATTGTCTTGTTTTTAAAAAATGTGGGATAGCCAGGGGCACACTCCAACACTCAAACATTTGTGTTTATTGAGTCTGCCAGATCAGAGGCAGTAGGGATTACCAGGGATGTTCTATTGATAAGTGCATGAATTTGACCATTTTCCTGTCCTGCTAAGCATTGAAAATGTAACAAGTACTTTTGGGTGTCAGGAAAAATTGATGGAGTAAAAAGTATATGATTTTCTTTAGAAATGTAGTGGAGTAACAGTAAATGTTGTAAGAAATACAAATAGTAAAGTAAAGTAGGCCTACAGATCCCCCCAAAAACAACTTACATACTTTTAAGTATTTTTACACAACTGCTAATGACTGTCCATCTCATATTTTTATTAGTTGTCTTTTTTGTGCTTTGAAGTGCTTTGAGGTTCTTTGAAAAGCGCTATATAAGTAGAATACATTATTATTATTATTATTATGATTATTTCCCAGCATCTTTGCAGGAACTAGTCGTTTCTATGCTACGCGGTCACGTGTAGAAGTATATGACAGCATGTCACACAGTGCAACCAAAACAAAGATCTACACCAGTGGAGGCTCCTCAGAGGAGGAAGGGGAGGACCATCCTCCTAAGTGAATGTCATACAAATAAAAATAGTGAAACATTTAAAAAAGCTATATCCTTTTTAGATAAAACTACACTACTGGTCAAAAGTTTTAGAACACCTACTGATTCAAGGGTTTTTGAAATAACACATATGGAATCATGTAGTAAACAAAAAAGTGTTAAACAAATCAAAATATATTTTATATTTGAGATTCTTCAAATAGCCACCCTTTGCCTTGATGACAGCTTTGCACACTCTTGGCATTCTCTCAACCAGCTTCATGAGGTAGTCACCTGGAATGTATTTCAATTAATAGGTGTGCCTTCTTAAAAGTTAACTTGTGGAATTTATTTTGTGACAAGGTAGGGAGGGTATACAGAAGATAGCCCTATTAAGTAAAGTATTATGGCAAGAACAGCTCAAATAAGCAAAGAGAAACGACAGTCCATCGTTACTTTAAGACATGAAGGTCAGTCAATATGGAAAATGTCAATAAAGTTTCTTCAAGTGCAGTCGCAAAAACCATCAAGCGCTATGATGAAACTGGCTCTGATGAGGGCCGCCACAGGAATGGAAGACCCAGAGATACCTCTGCTGTAGAGGATAATTGCAGCACAAATAAATGCTTTACAGAGTTCAAGTAACAGACATCTCAACATCAACTGTTCAGAGGAAAGAAATCACTACTAAAGGACACCAATAAGAAGAAGAGACTTGCTTGGGCCAAGAAACACGAGCAATGGACATTAGACCGATGAAACGTGTCCTTTGGTCTGGAGTCCAAATTTGAGATTTTTGGTTCCAACCGCCGTGTCTTTGTGAGACGTGGTGTGGGTGAACGGATTATCTCTGCATGTGTATTTCCCACCGTAAAGCATGGAGGAGGAGGTGTTATGGTGTGGGGGTGCTTTGCTGGTGACACTGTCTGTGATTTATTTAGAATTCAAGGCACACTTAACCAGCATGGCTCCCACAGCATGCTGCAGCGATACGCCATCCCATCTGGTTTGGTCTTAGTGGGACTATCATTTGTTTTTCAACAGGACAATGACCCAACACACCTCCAGGCTGTGTAAGGGCTATTTTACCAAGAAGGAGAGTGATGGAGTGCTGCATCAGATGACCAGCCTCCACAATCCCCCGACCTCAACCCAATTGAGATGGTTCGGGATGAGTCGGACAGCAGAGTGAAGGAAAAGCAGCCAACAAGTGCTCAGCATATGTGGGAACTCCTTCAAGGCTGTTGGAAAATCATTCCAGGTGAGGCTGGTTGAGAGAATGCCAAGAGTGTGCAAAGCTGTCATCAAGGCAAAGGGTGGCTATTTGAAGAATCTCAAATATAAAATATATTTTGATTTGTTTAACACTTTTTTGGTTACTACATGATTCCATATGTGTTATTTCATAGTTTTGATGTCTTCACTATTATTCTACAATGTTGAAAATAGTAAAAATAAAGAAAAACCCTTGAATGAGTAGGTGTTCTAAAACTTTTGACTGGTAGTGTATACGAAATATATTAACATGTCACCAAATAATTGATTAAAACAAACTGTTTTGCAATGAAGGTCTACAGTAGACTCAACAGCACTCTGTAGGGTAGAACCATGGTGTAGCCATTACTTTTTTCAAAAATGAAGGAGAAGCAAGAGAGAGAGATAGCTATATTTCATATTTTTTTCACTTTCACTTACTTAGCTAGGGATTGCAGCAAGTTAGTTTAGCCTACTCAAACACCAGGCTCAAAGAGAGAGGGATGTTGTGTTAGCTAGCTGGCTATCCAACACTGGAACTCTTCCAAGTCAAACTAAGCTTTTGGTTGTATTAATGTATTGCCACCAGGGCCGGCCAGTGTAACTGCTAAACTGCTTGCTGACTACATCTGCTAGATGCAGGCAAGTGTGTGCAAGGTGGTATTGAATGTGTCAATGTCTGTCAACTTAATTACTCAAACTTCTCTCAAACTGTACACCTATGTTGTAAACGTTCATTCATAGGCTAGGTTGTAGGAACCTCATGATGGGTATAGGGAAAATTTTTATTTTCATGTAGTATGTAGCCTAAACCTGTCGATGTTACATTGAGCTGGGTGAATGGAATATGAATGACAGTCATCCAATATGCTGTAATAGAAATAAGGCGTTGCTCATAAAAATAGATATATCGTCCTCCCTCATCTTAAACGGCACCGACCGCCACTGATCTACACACATGCAAGTGGCATTTCTCACTCCATACAAAACATGGATTTAATGCCTTTCTGAATTTATGTTTTTTGTAGAACCACCTGCAACTGGACACTGTTGGCATTTATAAGATACTTTCTTCGTTCTTGATTCGGGAAACGTGTATCGTAAAGAAGAGGTTAGTGAAAAAAGTCCTTGCTACACTTTACAGTAGCTAAAGTGTAACAGCTGTACTATGGAAGCATTCACACATCACCGTTCCAATGTGTATTTGCTATGTAAAAAGTGAATGCATGCACGGGTTCTCCTGATATTGCATTGACTAGCTCCAGGACTGTGGTGACAAAATGCGGCACATTTATGAATCAAACATTCAAGGAAATTACAGTAATGAATGCATTGTTCAATTATACTTACTTTTGGACATTCTTCAGAAGGTAATTTGCCAAGTAAATGTACCATGTTTTTCTGTCGAGTTCCGTAAAACGTCACGAATCAGCTGATAGTGGTATCATGTGGTAATCGTGTGGGGCGTATTCACAATTGTCCTCTTGCAGTGAGGTTTAAACCGGTACATTTATTTTTGAGCAATCGGCCTATATGGAAAACATTTTATAAAAAAGTGCGCTGAGCTCGTATTGAAACAATCTCCTAAACATACTTTTTTAGTGTGGCAAAATTCTATAATATTATCCCACGAGCCACAGTGCATGTAATAATATTCAGCTGACAAAATGTAATTTCCTTTGCATTATGTGTTTATAAAATCGGCTTCTTTCTTGGAGGATTATTAAAGTGAAAACAGAAGTGCTATGATGAAACTAGATGACATATCCAGCAGTAATGCACAGGACAGCGTTGTTTGCGCAACACTGGGATTTTGAATATAACCTTCTGGTCCAGGAACAACGTAATCTTCTACTTTGTCTTCTTCTTCTTCGGTGGGGTTTATCGGCGGTTGGCATCCAACGTTATGGTGCATTACTGCCACCTACTGTACTGGAGTGTGGGCCAGAGACGGGGAGGAACTAAATCCTACCTGCCAACCCCGTTTCTCTTAAAAAAGATAACAAAATATCTGATACTATATCTAATTACGTTCTACTCAATATACTCTTTAAACTAATTTCCTGTATCCCCTTCTCCCTCATACTAGATCTCATCCTCTCTCTTTCCCTCTGATACCGCCCACACTGTAGCAATACATGCTACACGGTCTCTGTTTCCTGACAATAATCACACTTTCCTGTTGGATGCTTTCCTATCACATGTAATGTCTTATTCAACTGGCTGTGTCCCACCCTTAATCTTGTAAAAAATAGCCTCCTCTCTTCTGTCCCTTCCTGCCGTCCTCCCGTCCCCGACTTTCCTCTGT